AAAATGGTGGAAGGGCATCTAAAGTGGAGGACAGAGCCTGTGAAAGGTGTGGAAGCTGTGGGGGATGTGTGGCAGGGGGCACGTCCAGGAAGATGGTGGTTCAGCCCACCTAGGGGGTAGAGAGTGAAGGGAGAAGATGTCAACCAGCAGAGATAGGTAGGGCTTTGGGCTTTATCCTGAGGGTAGAGGAGTGACAAGATTTGATTTTTGCTTTGGGAAGATCTCTGTGGAGGGATGGAGGAAGGCTGGGCTCGATGCAGGGAAGAGAAGTGGGAGGCTGTGGAATAATCAAGAGTTCTAGCTAGGAGCAGTGTGGTTGTAGAAACAGAAACCTAAGCAAACTAGCCCAGGCAGGATGGAGGGCAACCTCATCAACATAGGGACCAAAGTCTACCTGGGCCTCATGGAAGCTACTAGAACTGGAATCACTGTGGCCATCTCAAGGAAGCCAAGTGGCTTCTTCTCTAAATTGGTGATGGGAGTAGGGGGATAGCCCATGGTTTCCTTCATGTCTGTTTTTGGTTGGTTCGTTGCTTTTTTCTCCTTTTTTTGGTCTCTTCACCCTGACCCCCTCCCCTGTTGGGCCTAATATGGCCACTAGCCCTAAGATTCCAAGTCCTCACAGGTCCATGCCTGGTCCAATCAACCATCTACATGTGTGTGGGGCTGGGGTGGAGGGTGCCAAATGGCCCTTAGAGCTACCGCTCATAAAAACCAGAGGGATTTGCTACTTGGCTTGGCAAGTTCTTTCCAGCCACCTGAAGGCTGGGTCCAGGGAAGACCATTCCGGATATCATATGGAGCACTGAAATTTGTTTTCAGGCAATCACATCCTAAACTCCCTGACCATCAGGTCCTGCCTGGGCTGTTGGTGGGGTGAGGTCCTCTGTCAGATCAAATACGTTAGGAATATTTACTGCTGGGACAAGTTGCATTTGTTTATCATGTACTTACGTATGTTTATTTTTAGCCATAACCGTTGGAGTGATCAGAACTGACCTGATTTGAAGCTGGCTGTGTTAAAGTCCCAGTTTACTGGGGGCTCCCTCAGCACATGGGGGCCTGGTCACTCAAAGTAGAAGGTCCTGACAGAGCTCCTAGAGCCCTTTGTCATATACCCCACCCTTCCCCGACCACACCACAGCCATGGGGGCCTGGTGCAATGAGCCCAAAGATTATTCTAGGATTCAGCTGGGAGAACATCCCTGACTTTTACCAGGGGGGCCCCTTGTTGAATCAGGGGCTGGCTGATGTTGGTTGGCACCACTGTACCATATCTTCTAGAAAATCCTTATAGAATCTGGGCCCATTGTTTGTCCTCTCCCTGTCCTCTAAAACTAAAACGGAGCTGTCTTCCTTTGCCTGGCACTGCCCTGGTTTTAGTACCAAAAGTCCCATCCCAGGAAACCCATCAGTCCTGGGCAACCAGGGCCCTAAGTAACACAGCATCAAATATAACTGTGTGCATGTATGACATGTACTATGTGTGTGTATACATATAAATGCATATGTCTCTGATATGTATATATCAAAAGGAAAGCTATCAAAAATATGATTACAGTGGGAGACTAACATATTTCCTGTAATCTTTGACAGATCACTTAGGTACAAAGAAAATTTAAAATTAGGTTTGGACAATATAATCCATAAACTTGCTTTAATCCATACAATTGAACATTGTCCTCCAGAGAGAATAGACCTTCTTTTCACCTCATTCAACAACATTGGCAAACCTTCTACACGCAGCTCATCTGGGAAGACAGGCCAGGATGAACCTTTGCTGGAAGCTTTCCATTCCGCAGGTGTTCTTTGTGTCTGGGGCATTTTGCTGTTGTTCTTGAGGACAGAGGCGGTTTTTGGTATTACTGCCTTAAAATTCTTTCAGGCTAAAACTATAGCAGTCCAGGTATATGGAGTCAGATACTGGCTGCAATCTGTCTTCTAGAGATTCAAAAATTCCAAGCCAAGACTCTTGGGTGTGTCCTTGTACACAGTCCAAAATGGCTAAACTATATAGAAATCCCTTTGGAAGGAAAAAAATTTCTCATGGACCCGGCATTGACCTAAGTCACTTTTATTAAAATCTAACTTAAATATGTACTCTCATAAAGATTGGTTCTAAACACCTATACTTTATAGCTATCATATAACTTAGATGTCAAAACGAATGTGCAAATAAATACAACTATCAAGCTTTATAATGTCAAATTAATAAAATTAATTCACTGCAACAGATATTGCTTGGCTGAAACTGAAACATCATTTTGGGTTTAGCAATAGAAAGACGTAGCTTCAGGTCCAGTTAGTCTGTGGCATCATTATCGGAATTTCGACTTCAACAATACTAAGGCAGACAATGCATCAAGCTTGTTGTGCAAAACAATGTTAATAACCTCAGAAACGCACTTGCTCCTTGAGGATAATAAGTTACCATAATCTAAAATTCAGCTATCAAACCATCTTGGAAAGCGTACATAAATGAGGGGCCATTTTATACTAATAAAAATAGTAATAATCACTAACATTTGTTGAACCTTACTATATGCTCCAAGTCTTTCCCATGTAATACCTCTAATCCTCACAGTATCATTGTGAACTCAGTACCACATGTTTATTCACATATTATCATAAGAAGAAACTAAAGAACAGAGAGGTTGAGTAACTTGTCCAAAGTCTCACAGCTAATAAGTAGAAAAATTACTACTTTCGGCAGTCTGGCCCCACTTAACCATTACAGCAAACTACCTGTCTCATTGTTTTGGACATAAGGTATTTATTGGGGGGTTGCAAAACCAGTCTTAAATGGAGATCTAATCCAATTATTGCTGAAACCAGCAGCAGTAACTTTTTCATTGCATTTTTACTACAACACCTGCTGCTACTAAATTGCTGTAACTTAGTCTGTAGAAGGTGAATTGACATGAGAGTTTCATTCGCTGCCAATATAGCAGTGGCCACCCCAGGAGCTGTTCTTTCGAGTTTGGCAAGCTGTGCCCTGTGTGGACTGCCCTTTCTCTCCACACACCTCTGTTAAACTCCCCTCCCTACCCATCATGCTATGAGGGGAGCCACCAGGGCTGCCCCTGCTCACATGGCAGGATACAGAGGCAAACACAGGCCCCAGCGCTGGTTTTTGGGTTGCCATCAAGATGATCCAGAACACATTTTTATTACTCATTATTAACGATTATCATTGAAATAAAACCAATAATCTTAGAGAAGACACAGATGCCTCAAAATACATATATCCCGAGAAGCCCAGGGGTCTGAGAGACCCACAGTGTGACATCATGAGCTCACGCTGAGGGACAGCATACGAAACAGCCGAATGAAATCCACCCTTGTGATTGACAAGGACACGATTGAGGACATCCTTCCAAACACTGCGTCATATTTGAAGAAAGTTCCTTTCTGTTCTTAGATCAAGAATGGTTGTACTTCTCTTAAGAAGTCTTATTACGTGTTTTCACATTCCGGACATGTGACCGTTCCTGCTTCATGCTTTTCCTGCACAGCTCTTATCACCATTTGTAATTAGACATTCATTTGAGAGCTTTCTTGATGAATACCAGTTTCCTGCATTTGTCCGTAAGTGCCGTGAGGGCAGAGACCACATCTGTCTGCTTCACCCCTTGTTCCCACCGCCTCTCACAGAGCCTGGCGCGTAGTGGGTCCTCATTGAACGGTTGTTGAGTGACCGAGTGAGTGAATGAGTCAACGAATAAATAAAACATATGAGCCATGGGTTGGTCAATTCTCCTTTTTGCATGAGCTGCTAGAAAGTTTAGACCTGGATTGTTTCCCCCTCATAGCAGGTGTAGAGGGTCTTATGCTCGTATTTGTGTATTAGCCTCATTCTTTTTTTTGAGGAAGATTAGCCCTGAGCTAACATCTGCTGCCAATCCTCCTTTTTTTGCTGAGGAAGACTGGCCCTGAGCCAACATCCGTGCCCATCTTCCTCCACTTTATATGTGGGACACCTACCACAGCATGGCTTGCCAAGTAATTGCCATGTCTGCACCTGGGATCCGAACCGGGGAACCCCGGGCCGCTGAAGCGGGATGTCTGCACTTAACCACTGTGCCACCGGGCCAGCCCCATAGCCTCATTCTTAATACCATTTTAGTCTCTACCCTTAGTTTCCTTTTTTCTTTCTCCTTTACTTCTAAGTTAGTCTACCTTGCTATATTTTATGAATCCCCGTAAACTGTCTTAGTTCCCTTGTGGAACAAGGTAGGTGATACATACATTTATTAAAGTCTTTTTTATATATATTTAAAATCTTGACACTAAACTCTCTGCCAACAAACACATTTGATCACCTGTAAACCCTTAAGAATAACTGAGATTTGCTAATTCTAGCACCAGACCAATATTTAAAGCAAATCCCACCCTAGCCTAGAAACCACCCCCGGTGTGTTGTTTTAGGCAGTGTGGTGTGTTTTGTATGTGACAAGTACATTTCTAACAGGGCTATGCAATCGGGCGGACAAGAGAGAACATAGGGCTTACTACAAAAATGTTATGGATTGTGGATCAAAGAAACATTTATCTTTAGTGGTTCTCTAAAATGTATTGACATCAAAGTAATAATGAAAAGTTTGCTTTTACTGTGCCCTATTGGGGATGGGGGGATGGGGAGCAGAGGTGAGTAAGGGGGTCTGGGTGACATCCTGGTTCCTAGGCATTGAGAAATCTGATCACTTTCTAGAATGAAGGCAGAACATTATAAAGTAAAAATAGTAAATGGCCGAAACCCCTTTTTAAAATCTCTAACAGATACTATTCATATGCTACTGGGAGGAGTGACTTGCAAGTATGAAACTTCACAGTTATCTTCTCTGGTCTTACTCATTTACAGAACTTTCACTATTTTTCCCTTAAAATGAAACATCATTTTCAAATCCCATTATTGAGGACCCCCCTCACTGCGCCAATTAAACATCTCATGTACCCCACCTAGCCCCACGCACTAAATGTGGAAGAAGTGCAGTCCCCACCTCGGATCATCTGCTCCTGCCAGGATGCCAGACCAACGCCTCCTTTGGGGTTAGTCAGAAAGCACAAAACGTCCATTTAGGAAACTGAGATTTGATTTCTATTATCCATAAGGCTCGTTTGAGTCAGTTGAATCTTAGACGGCAACTGCAAGAGGGGTCAAGAGGGGGTGTAAAGAAACAGATGGAAAATAATCATGTGTCAGATAAATGACAATTTTTAAAAGAATTTGATAGCATGTGGGCTGGGACATTTTTTCCCTTCCCTTTCTCTCATTCGTTTTGGGTTTTTTTTTTTTTTTTTTTTGGCAAGGGGGTGGAGATTAGAGAAGAAAAGTAAGGGGAGAAAAGGCAAGACAATAGGCTAGCCCCGAGCGCCTGATCAGCATCCTAAAGCAGTCTGCCCCTCCCACCCTGCCCCCCAACACCAGGTAGGCTGTGGTGGCGATTTCAAAACAAGCAGACGCTGGCCGCCGCCTCCCGGCCAGAGGGTGGCCTCCTCCCGAGCGAAGGAGGGGAGGGGAGACGGAGGAGAGAGAGGAGGGAAGATGGAAGCTAAGAGATGAACTGAGTGGCCAGACCTCCTCGGGGACAGTGGCCTTTTTTCCCTCCAAATTGGTGGAGCTGCATAAAGATCCAAACCCACCGGGGCGCGCTCACGTGCCAGCTCCCCTGCTCCAAATGCGGGCGGCAGCCGACGCCTCACCTGCTCGCCCCGCAGCTGCGGCGGAGCGCGGCGCCCCCGGCCATGGCGAGGCCGCGAGGAACGCGCCCAGCCCCGCCGAGCGCGCCCGCACGGCTCCCCGGAGGGCGGCGGCCGAGCGCGAAGGGAAGGGAGGCGCGGCCCCGCGAGGCGAGCCTTACCACCCGCCCGCCCGGACCGAGAAGAAAGCCCCACCTGTCAGGCGTTGCGCTCCGGGCGAGTGGGTCCCACTGTCCCCGAGCAGAGGCCAGCGCTCGGCTGCCCCGCTTTCCTAAGAACCTCCAAGGGTTTCTCCATCAACAGAAACCTTTAGGCATAAACCCTCAGCCGCGGGGGAGGGCTGCATCGCAGACGCACTCACTAACAGATGCTCACCCATCTGGACCAAACAGCTCCCGCACGGTGGAAGGATGCTGTAGGGGTCTCAAATTCCGTTAAAATAAAAACCAAGGCAAGCCCACAGTGCCCATTCCCCAAACGGGCTTACCTCCTGCACGGCATCTTATCCATCTCTGGTCTTCCACTGTGGGCTGTTGGGTTTTTTTGTTTTGTGGTGGTGTTTTTTTCTTTTTTTGGATCTGCTTAATAAATGCACCCAGCTAATCTGCAGAGCAATGTTTCCTACCCATCCTAACAGCACCGCACTTGTCAGCGCTGCCTGGAATTCCACCAGCAATGCAGCTTCTCCGCGTCGGTGGTAATCCCAGACAACAGAGGCTGCGACTCCTTGACAAAAGGCTTTCCGTTCCCGCTCGTGCCTTACAGCCCTGCCGTCAGAATTAAATCCATTTCCCGCAAGAGGCGGGGAGGAAATGAGAGCTCTCTCGGCGGTGCGCGCTGACAAAAGGACGCTTGGCGGTGCCCACAGCGCCCCCTCGAGCGGGCCGCTGCCGGCCGCCGGGGGCCGCGCTGCTGCAGTGCCCCGCCCGCGCTGCCCGCCGCCCGCGCTGCCGCAGTCCCGCCGCCCAGGCCCTCGGCCCACGGCCACGCCACCACCACCGACTGCCCCCGAGAGCCAAAAGCCAATATGAGGATTCTGGTACTAGGAAGAAAATCTGAAACGTGAGCTCCATTAGGGGATGCACCCTCCCTGGGATTAAAAAAAAAAAAAAAGTCCTACACTTGGAATATTTTTTGTCTGGAAGGGACATGTTGCCTTTAAAAGATTCGCTCTATCAGTATTTTAATAGCAATCGTTTGACCATTTGAATTCCAGCCAAAATTTTCCCTATCCTAATTCTGACTCCATTTTCAATAGGGCAAAATTTTTGTTGTTGCCACACCCTCTGGGGCCCTGCGCCCAGCTCCCTCCAATTCTCACTACTTCCTGCTCTCACCGTCTCCCCTCCCCAGGCTCCCACCCCAGCGGGAACAGGTGTTTAGTGAACGGGGAACTGAATGGAGAAGCAGAATGCTCAGTTACAGTCTCAGACCTGCCATTAACTATCTGTGTGACTTTGATGAAGTCACTTAACCTTTCTGGGCCTTATCTTAACTCTGTAAAATTGTGGTTCACCTAAAGAAAATCCCACTTCTACTTTCTGACAGTGTTTCTCAATACACGGCCCTCAGAGAGTAGGGATATCAAGTGGTAGCTTGAGACTTTCCAGCCCCATAATCCCCACCAGCTCCTCAAAGCTCCTTTAAATCAACATTCACTCTGTTTCTTAAAATGTTGATTGCAGGACAAGTACAGCTTCCATAGAAGCCCCTGGTCACTACCCCCAACCAGATCATGGCCCCTCTGCTCCTTCTAGGTTCTAGGGCACCACCGGCCTTAGACGCCCCAATAGAAATCACCAGACCCACCACAGTGCTGCTGCAGAAATCAGACTCTCTGGAAGTGGCCTAGGATCCGTATTTTTAACACACATGCCCAGGGATTCCTTTGCACACTAACATTTAAGAAATGCCACTTGATGCAGGCTACTCCTGTGTGGAAAAAAAGAAAATGCCCACCACCGCAACCGCAGAACAGCTGGCGGGCATTCAATCTCAGACACCAGAGGAAAGTTTGTCCTTCTGCCCTAGCTCCTCCAACCCCTCCATCCCCCAGTCTCGACACCCTCCTTCCCCACTCAGAGCTTCTCATTCCTTCCCATTTCATCTTCAGAATCCCTGAGTCCTCAAGCCTCTCCCCATTCTCCTGTCAAATCTGCTGGAACCACAAGCATCTCAGCCACCAGGACCAGAAGTCCGTCTGGCCAGAACGAGGAAGTGCTGTGTTGGTTGAGACACTCCAGGTGGCCATGCTCTGTTGGTGCCCAGTGTCAACATCTAGGAAGTCAGGAACGCCTTCTCCAGAGCCCTGAAATCACAGGTATGGTGGGCCCTTTTCTGAACTAGAACCCCAAAAGGGAATCAAGAATTTTTGTTTAGTCCAGAAATAGCACGTTTCATAAATCCCGGGACTTGGTCATCTCTAGGATCACTCAAAAATTTCTCTTCCCGGTGTATTATTTAGTTTTCTCAAACTAATAATAGAAAATTCTTATTGGCTCCTGCCACTGTTCTGAGGGCTTTACATGTATTTTTATTCATTTAATCCTCACAAGAACTCTATGAAGGTGATACTATTACTATCCCATTTTACAGATGCAGTGACTGAGGCACAGAGAGGTTATGACACTTGCCCAAGGTCCCTCAGCTAGTGGGTGGCCAAGCCAGGATTCAAACTCAAGCGTTATGGCTCCAGAGCTTGTGAGCCCTAACCACTAGCCTGTACATGGCCTCTCAGAGGGGGCAAAAAATTGACTTTAAAAAGAACTAGTACAAGACTGATAGAGTTGATAAGACTGATATATTCTCTTTTTCCCAAAAAACCGATTCTGCTCTTCTAGCCATCACAGACTCTAAAAAAAAAAAATGTCCCTCCAGCTTCTCCCAGATGTCATCTAAATATAACATCTGACTATGAGGCACGCCGGGAAGAGTGGCGCCATCCTGTGGCTTTAGGAATTGTTCAATGTCAGAAAGGAAACAAGACCTCATTATATTAATTTCCATATTATAGCTTATATGGAATATAGTTGAAGTTCCTGAAGTTCTCACTTACTCAATTCCAAATTCACTTTGAAATCCAACAAAAGGAACTATAACTAGGTAGCTCCACAGGCTGTCATGAGACGATCACTGGAATTCAGAGTTCCCACTGCAGAAAGCCCAAGACGCCTGACCCTTAAGTAGGGACAGGAAAGCATAGGAGACTCCACATTGTACCCAGAAAGATCACCTTTGGCTAGCCCTCAATGGCCAGAGGGTTTAAAATTAGATTTTCTGACTTATCTGCAGTAAAATTATTTCTAATCTCCAAGTCTCTTGACAAAAATGTTTTTGGCCAGCAATAACTTGTAAAGAGATCAGATGGCAGTGTAACAGACATCCACAGTGTCCCCACCTCCTGTTACTCATGCCCTTGTGTAGCCACCTTCCCTTAGGTGCTGGCAGGACCCATGACTTGCTCCTAACCAATAGAATACAGCAAAGGGGATGGGATGTCACTTCTGGAATTACGATACATAAGATTCTTCATCTAGCTAGCTGATTCTCTTGATTGCCTTCTTGGCTTGCATGCTTTGACTAAGCAAACAGCCATGTTGGGAAGATCTATGTGGCAAAGAACTGAGGGCTACATTTGGCCAACAGGCAGGTAGAAACTGAACCCATCAGTCCAAAAGTCCTAGAGGAAAAGAATTCTGCTAAGAACCACGTAAGCCTGGAAGCAGATCCTTCCCCAGCCAGGCCGTCGGCTGAGACCTCAGCCCAGAATGACACCTTGATTTCTGCCTTGAGAGAGACATTGAAGCAGAGGACCCAGCTAAGCCATGCCCAGGTGTAACTCTTGACCCACAGAAACTGTGAGATAATAAACATGTTATTTTAGGTTGTTACGGTTGTGGTAATTTGATACACAGCAATAGATAACTAATACGGTGCCTTAGCACTCTCCAGGTCCAGGCAATCTTATCAACCACTTTCCCCAGGGCATGCCAGAGGAGCTGGAGGAATCGGCACCCTAGGAGATCAGCTCTCAACCAACGACTATCAGGAGTTAGTGGATAAACAGCCTGGCTCCCTCATGCCAGGCGTGTTGGGGGGACACCTCTGAGGCATGTTGCACATAGTCTCCCAGAATGCCTCAGCAGGACTGAGCCCTGGCTGCCCGCAGCAGTAACCTGTCAGCCATGCATCTTGTAGAGGCTGGCTTTTCTTCCCTATATTACTTTCCTGCTCCCCATTGGTGTTTCCTGGGCTCGCCTTCCAAATAAACTACAAATCATGGCGTACTTTTAAGGGAATCAAGTTTAAGACAGGAGGGGGGAAAGACAGCACTTTCAAAGCAAGACCAATGATAAATTCTAAGACTAGATCTCCTGAAGACATCACTCTCTCAACAAGTAAAAGTTCAGCCAAACCCATGGCTGAAGCCTGCTGTGGAAAGAGAGTCCAGGGCCTGGGGCTCTAGCCTTGGTCCCCGTGACTGTGTGGCCTCAGGAAAGACTCTGACCCTGAGGTCTCACTTCCCAGCTGTAAAGTGAGGGTAACAGTGCTTACTCTCTGATATGGGTTGAATTATGTGCCCCCTAAATTTCCATGTTGAAGTCCTAACCCCCCAGTACCTCAGAATGTGACTGTATTTGAACATAGGGTCTTCAAGAGATACTTAATGAAGTACATGAGATAATTAAGAGGAAAAAATTAGGTCATGTGGGTGGGCCCTAATCCAATAGGGCCTTATAAGAGGAGGAACTGTGGACACAGACGAGCACAGAAGGAAGACCAGGTGAAGACACAGGAAGGAGAGAGCCTCAGAAGAAACCAACCCCGCTGACACCTTCATCTCTTGATCTCAGATAAGTTTCTGCTCTTCAAGCCACCAGTCTGCAGTACTCTGTCATGGGAGCCCCAGAAAACTAATGCCGTCTGCTACCACCCAGCGTTGTCATGCAGACAAAAGGGGAGACCAGGTAGAAGTGCTTACAGTCTTATTATTACTGATCAAAATGAGATAACCTGCGCCTTTAATCCCAGCCACATGAGAGGAACCACGCAGGGCAGCAAGGCACCACACACAGTCGTTGGAGAGGCCCAAGACTCCAGGGGAAAGGCAATCCTTGTTATAAACTGGCAGAGCTTGGCTCAGTTGTGTTCTAGTGTTTCACAGAAGGTAAAACTTGCAAGTGGCGAAATTGAATATTTAGCAGAGGAGAATTCTAAGCCAACTGTTGAAGGTGCAACTTGGGTCCTCCTTACCACTTACAGTAAAATGCAAAAGGAGAGAGATCAATTAAAGACGACTTGTTAAACAAAAAGGAACCAGAACTTGGAGATTTGGAAAATTCTCAGCCTATCGATATTGCAAACAGTGAGACAGCTTGTTCTGAAGAGAGCAGTAAGCGTGTAGCTGAACAACCATTTGATAAAGAGATCGTGGGTGCAACCCATGGACTTAATCAGCATCTCAGCAGAGGCCAGGAATAGAGACGAGATTATACCAGCAAAGACACTGCCAGATTGAACTAAAGGGGACAGAGAACGCAGGACAGAATGAAGGCAGGCTGTTGGACTTCTTGGATTCTACGAGACCATAGAGCTATTCAGTTGCAACGTGCACTATTCTTCAAGGAAAAAGAAGAATGACCCCAAAAGTGATTCAGAGATCATCGGGACTGCCACTCAGACCACAGGCCCAGGCGGCAAGTCTGTTTCCTCCTAGTTTCAGAGGGTAGGGCCACTGCAGAGTGTTGTATGGGGTGACACTGCCACCCCAGTGGGCCTAGAAGTGGGACGCTGAGCCAAAGAGGATTATTCTGGAGCCTTAAGATATAATGAAATTGCCTTGCTAGGTTTGGGACTTGCTTCGAACCCATCGTCCTTTTCTTCTTTCCAGTTTCTCCCTTTTGGAATGGAAATGTCTATCCTAGGCCTGTTCACCACTGTATTTTGGAAGCACATAACTTGCCTGTTTTCACAGGTTCACAGCTGGAGAGGAATTTCGCCTCAGGCTGAATCATATCTCCAGTCTCACCCGTACACGACTGAGATATTTAGATGAGACTGCGGACTGCAGACGTTAGGGTTGAGGCTGGAATGAGTTAAGACTGTGGGGGATGTTGGAATGAAGTGAATGTATTTTGCATGCGGTGATAAGGGCATGAATTTTGGGGGGCCAGAGGCGGAATGCTATGGACTGATTTGCGTCCCCCCCCCCCCATTCATATATTGAAGCCCTAACTCCCAAAGTGACTGTGTTTGGAGATAGGGCTTCTAGAAGGTCCTTAAGGTTAAATGAGGTCATTAGGGTAGGACCTTAATCCAATAGAATTGGAGTCCTTATAAGAGGAATGGAGACCAGAGTTTGCTCTCTCACTGGCTCATGCATGCTCTAGCACTCTCTCCCCGCAATGTGAGGCCACAGAGAGAAGGCAGCTGTCTGCAAGCCAGGAGAAGCAACCTCACCAGAAACCAAACCCTTCAGACCTTGATCTTGGACTTCCCAGCCTCCAGAACTGCAAGAAATAAATATCTGTCATCTAAGCTACCCAGTCTATAGTTTACGTTATGGCAACCCGAGCAGACTATACACTTTCTGTGCCTCAGTTTCCCCATCTGTAAATCAAGAATAATCATGCCTATCTCATAGGACTGTTATGAGAACAAAACATCCGTAAAGTATGGGGAAAAGACCCAGCATGTATTAAGTGCTATGTCTTTGTGAGCAATTGTTGTAAAGATGAAGACTGCCTCTGTGCTCAAGGTCAAACTTGCACAAAGGTGCCACGTGGCCTTAGCTGGGTATTTAGATAGCCTTGAAAACTCTCACTCCCACTGACCAATGCTTACGACTCCATATACTCTTTGGGGCTAAGTTTGTATTCCTATTAAAGGTTAATTTCCCCAGGAAGGGTAACAGGCACTTATTCATCAAGTGATGAAAATAGATGGAATGAAAGACATTAGGTATAGGTCCTGAGACGATGAGGATGGAAACTTCATGAGGTTAAGAAATCAGACTGAAGGCTGAAGGCCCTGAAGCCTATTTCTTCAAAGCATGAAATTAAGGAGGAAGCAAATTTATGAGAGACAGGACCATTTGAAAGGTAATTGTTAAAAAAAAAATTGAGATAATACCAAGTTTTTTAAAAAAGAGACTCCAAAACTTTCAAGACTGCATTTATTTGTCTCAAGAAGGTAGCCCTGGGCTGGTCTTTTCACTTTTCACACTTGAGGGAGCCTGAAACACAGAAAAGAGTCCATTGTAAATGGCTAAAGAATAAGAACAGACCGATCACAAAAGAAATATGTAAAAAAAATTCATTTCATTAGTAATCAAAGATGTGTAAATAAGACACCATTTTTTACTATTAAAATTCTATCATTTTAATAGATCTCATTTTGTCAAGGATATGATGAAATTGGCGCTCTTACACAGCTAATGGTATTATAAATTGGGACTATGCACCAAATCATAGATTGTACCTACTTGTGTCTCAGGAGTCTCTCTTCTGGGGATTTATCCTAGAAAAATAAAATTCAGAAAGAGCTAAACATATCAGGTTATTTGCCATGTTTATGAGAAAAACTGACAACATCTTAAATGTCCCACAATTAGAACACTGTCCCATTTAATGGCCCATTAAAACTTGTTATAAAGACCGTATAGTAACCTCTAAACATGCCAATGGTAGAATAAGAAAAAACAGAACACACAATGTTTTGTACTGTATAATTTGCAAATTCAATGGTATAGGAGAAAATTTTGGAAGCATTTTAGTACATTTCCGTCAGTGGTTTTACTAAGATGGTAAGATCATTTGAGTCTTCTCAATTTTCTGAAATCTCAACTTGAAGAAAAAACAAATCCATGACTGAAAAATAAAGTCACTCAAATCATGATCAGGCAGTTCAGATATTGGAAACTAGACATATATCACCATGGATAATAAAATACTACAATCAAATACTTTAATTTAGCTTAAAAAAACACATTTACCTATTTCCTAGTTCGCTCTTCTTTACATTTCAAGGGTGAGTTTTGTTAGAATGAAAGGCGGTTAGAGGGTTTAACACTATTACCCACATCCCTCAACTCCACCCCCTCACTGACTCCCTGGATATTGGGCAAGTTACTTAACTTCTGTTCCTCAGTTTCATGTGATAAGAAATTGTCACATATTGAGGTATATGGGGGGTAGCTATTCTGGTTTGAACCTGATTTGGCCTGAACTAAAGAAGTCGGACTTACGCCTATCAAACATACATTGCACATCTGCTTTAACCATTAAAGTGAAGAATGCATTAAACATTATTGCAAAGTAAAAGAATGCACTCTTTAAAGACAAGGATGCATGCTTCGCCTCCACAACGCTGGGACCAGTACTCCTGAGATAAGTTCCCTTCCCACCATCAGGGTCATGTTGACCTGCTAATCTGCAACTGAATATCTCTCTGAAACTTTGATGAATATGCATCCTGGGTGTGTTTGATGTGTGTTCTTTGTTCTAAAAAAGGGATAAAACGGTACTGAGGGGCTGGCCCAGTGGCTCAGCCGTTAAGTGCGCACGTTCCACTTGGTCACCCCGGGGTTCACCGGTTTGGATCCTGGGTGCAGACATGGCACTGCTTGGCAAGCCATGCTGTGCTAGGCATCCCACATATAAAGTGGAGGAGGATGGGCACGGATGTTAGCAAAGGGCCAGTCTTCCTCTGCAAAAAGAGGAGGATTCACAGCAGATGTTAGCTCAGGGCTAATTGTCCTCAAAAAAAAAAAAAAAAAAAACTGTACTGAAAATCAAGCTTCTCTGGAACACTGTCTTCCTTTGTGGAGGCTATCTTCCCAGGTTATAGTCCTCAGCCTGGCTCAATTAAAATTCACCTTCTCTCGCCTATATATAGAATGGTTATTGGTTATTTGCCTCGACACCTGACATGTAAAATGGATATCGTTGTTTGTACATCACAGGGTGGTTGTGAAAATTAAATAGGTTACTATGTATAAATTGCCAGGAATAGCATAAAATAAGTATCACTATTTTTTCTGATCTTGATCAAGTCTTTCCACTATACGTCGGATCAAGCTTTCTTTTTTTGAGTTCAAATTTAGCTTTAGAAGTTTTATTTATACTTTTTTAACTTTTTATATGTCTAGAACATTTTAAAGCTAAGAAACAAATTCAGATATTGCTGTGTTTACCTGAAGGGTTAAAGAATGATTTAATGCTATCAGTCTATAGTCTCAGGTATTATACATCGCTGTCTTTGCTTTTAAGAGTTAACTGGAAAATTCCAGGAATGTAACATTTAAGTATCAGAATATGAAAACTTGAATTTGATCAACGTTGTCTTATTCTCACAGTTATGAAAAAAGTGCCTGTTGGTCTCATCTGAGTCAAGGAGTTGAAGGTCCAAGAGAGGGTGGTCTGAGGAATAGAAACCCAGCTTGCTGCTCAACTCCTTCAGTAAGGTGGGTACACTCCTGTTGTTGGTTGTGTAGCTGGATAATTTGACACATTATCCAATTTACTTTTCCCTCCACCTACTGAGCCAAGGCTTGGTAGTGGGGATAGGGTTAGATAGATACGGGCCAGAATTCCTTGTTTACTCAGCTTTAGAGCTCAGTTCCCAGCTTAGCAACAGTCTGGAAAAGCAAGGCTCTCATTTGAAAGAAGCTGACTCTGTTGAAAGGGAGAGTAATGAACATGTAGGTTCCGATGGACCAGAGCTTAGATGGCTGCTCATCAGGTAGTCACAGAGCAGGGAGGAGGCAAGAAATGATGAGAAGAAGACCTCCTACAACCCAAACCAGAGAGGAATGTTAAAACAGCAGGAGGTAGTTATTCAGAAAGGACGGAACTAGTGTGTAGAAGCTGCCTGATCCCTGAGAAGGGCCCCTGTACCAGGCCATCCTGGGCCTCGACCTAGGGATGGGGAAGAGTTACATATGATAATAAGACTCAGGAAAGGTAAAGTGGACTCTGAGGAAAGCAAGGACTTGTATCCATTTCTTAGGATGTAGCCTGACAGGAATTTAGCGGCCACATAGCTAAGGGACAGCATCAGGTATATGAGCCTGAGAGCAGCCTCTGAGCCTGCCTGGGAGTGGGAAAGCCAGGGAGACCAGAAGAGCTCTGGGTTCTGAACAGAGAAGGCCCAGCAAGCCTGGCCTAAAGAAAAGAGAAGGCACAATGGGGCCATGGGGGTCAGGAGCAGATGTCAGCTCAACATTGCTCACGATCAGGGCCAGAGGACTACCTGGGGTCAAAGGTGGGGAAACATACATGAGTGCTCCCATTCCAGCCCCCGTAGTGCATCCACTCCCCACTGCACCTAGAGGAGAAGGCGGGTGGGGAGATCCTCTTGGGTGAGGAGATCGTGTAAGAGGCAAAGAGCCCCCATAGGGATGCTGAACATTGAACTGATTCAGTATTTACTAGATAGACCTTAATGAGGCAAGATAAAGAATTCTCCCACCATCTGAGTCATAAGGGTATTACTGGGTTCTCAGAACAACTGGAATACAGTGTACAAAGTTACATTTCTTCCCATCTAAACTGTGCTCATAATTGTCAATCCTGCATCAGTGTGTGAAAGTCCAGCCAGGACCCATAGATCAGAACCCAGCATTGTGGCCACAGCCTCACTGTCTCGAGGAAGAGCCATACAGATGACCTTCCAGCAAATGAAGGTCCCTTATAATGAGTAGGGCTTTGGCCACCAAGCCCTATGTGGTCTGTCTCTTCCCTTGGGGACCTGGTCCAAATCACAAGATGCAGGGGGACTCTGCTCCTGGATTCCTTTCACCTCAGAATACCCCAATGAGGCAGGTGCCCCTGGCCCATCTTCCACACCAGAGTTCCTAGAAGGACACATTCCTGGAGGGAAAAGTCTTCCAAAAAGGAGGAGAGTGCTCCAAAGAGGACCGGAAGAGCTCCTAAAAATAATCAAGTTGCATTTAAAATCCCTTTACCCTCCCCCACTAGAAGAGCTACCTTTAACACTGTGTCTTTGGAGTCCATTTCATCCCTGATCTGTTGTGGATAACCCAGGGATTAGAATAAGGGGAGAGCGTGGAGGGTGGGAGGACACACTGACCTCCCTCAGGGACAAGCTAATGTGGTCCGAGCACTTGGTGGTTTTCTCTAACCCAAAGAGCTGACTGTCTCAAGGGAGGCTAGCAGCACCTCAGAGAAGTCCTGCCTCCACCTTCAGAGACCCTTCCATCCAATTCTTGACATTCTTCTCGGTATAGCTGTGGGACCGATGAGATGGACCTTTTGTAAAACTCATAAATATTCTCTCAAGAAGTCCACTAGAATAGATGAGGTCTTACTTCAATTAATTTGGCCACCAGGTCCATTACATGTCAGAGAAGTGGAAAAGAAATTACTGGCTTTCTCAAATCATCCTTAGCTCAGTGACAGGGTTAGGAGCCCATACCAGGTAGGGATCTTGTCAAACACACCAAACTTCACAGGCACACACACTCACTCACACACAATAAACTCAATTCCATGATTGATTCAATCTTTTGTCCCCATAGAAAAATTAGAATTCCAACAAAAGAAATCTCCCTCTCTTATTTTCACAAAGAAATAGAAATTTGTCTTCCTTCTGACATTTTCTTCTTATCTTCATCAGATTGGGCCTTAAGACTCTTCCTCTGGTGCTGTTGAATCTCTTCCTGAGTAGCTGCAGCCTGGGGAATCCACCATCAGAGGTGGCATCACTCCAAAGTTAGATGGATCCTGTTCTGCATGCCCCAGATCTCACCTTTCCAAAGTTCCAGAGAGAACAACCAGCATCCATATCATCACAGCATAAACCCCCAAAGCGCCAGAGTTTAGAAGACACGATAACATCCCAGAGCCAAATGCAACCACCAGAGGAGCCTTTCCTCTGAGCCCCAGTGCCCTTGGTCTGGGGCTGCAAAGTTAGATGCCTAAACTGGTGATGCAATAAGGGGTGGTGGGGACTGACAAACCAGAGAGCACCCATCCCATCAAAAAGGAAGTTCAATTTTTTAAAATACTCCATGGACTAAACTCATCAGAATATGCCCCCTAGGCCACCAGTGAACATTGGGCAGACAAATGTGCTTCCCTGGGAAAAGCTTAGACCCACACCACACTATTGTGGTAGAATTTTTGCTATCACATAAAGCCACTATCTGGGGAAATGTGAGATGGAAGACAGAAGATAGATGCTCCAGGGCTTTCCCAGGGTGCTAATAAATTCATCCCAACTAGCCAGAGCATCTCATTTCAGAGCTTAACACGCTATTAGAAGAAATGTCCCCCGTGATCAATTTCACACACAGATTACCACAACCTGCAGAGGGGGTACTGGAAATCCACCATCCACATAGGCTTCCTTCTCTCAGAAACTCCCCAAAATTAGAACCCAGGCCAAAATTCAGAAGCACACGATGACGGCACATCCAGGCCCCATAACAGACACTTACATTCATCTGTGTAGCTCTTTCCAGAGCCCCTCTGACCCCAGGACAATTGGCATCTCACTCCAACACTAAGGGTGGCCTTCGTCCTGGGACACCGCCTCTACGGGATCACAGGCAACACTGAACAAATTAGAGCCCTGCACGATGTGACATGCCCAAGCTATAGCCACAGGTGACAAATAGAAGGAATAAACAAGCGTGGGCTAGTGAACATCTTGCCACCCAGCCATGCCCAGTCCCAAAACAGCAAATCTCACACCTTGAAAGTCCAATTTGAAAGGAGCCTTGCCTGGACCTTGACGTTAATCCCTATTGCTATCAAGGCCAGATGCTGTGGCTTTACGTGGCTCACGGCCCTCTCCATCCACACACAAACTTGCTGATTCAGTCCCCAAGTGAACCTGCTCTGGCTGGAGAGGTTAATCTCCATCCCTGCCATCAGCAGATTCTTATGAACTTCATTTGGGATTTTGCCTCTCAGGAATGTTGTTGATCTGGCACAGCCTGTTCTGACCCCATCCCCAAACCCCCCAAAATGCCCATCTCTGCCAGCACCAGGATGCCACTCCTCAGATCCACTCCAAGCGTGGGAAGAAGGGGGCCACTCCTGCAAACAGAAGCAAGAGGCAGCCTGCCTCCCAAATCCTAAACCCCTCCGTACATATGCATTTCCATCCAATGAACCACACCAGCTGTCACCAGGTCTCCAGTTAGGGTACCTGGCCAGGATCCGGAAACCCTCTGTAGTCAACCCCTCAGGTAAACTGGGCTGGAGCCTTATGAGGATCATCTGGCAAATAAAGGCCAGCCTCAGCTTTGTTTCCTTGGCCCTTTATCTTGATCCATACTGGTTACTAATTGTAAAATGGATGCTTTTTTAAAGTTAGTAAAAGTGATGTCCAAAATGCTCAAGCCACATGCAAATAAGGATCTCAGAGTTATATCTAGTAACAAAGAGAAAACTAGCCAGAAAGATAGTCACTTCAAAGAAAAAAAGATTTCTCTCTCCCTTTCCTGAACAATTCAGTCCTAAGGCTGTTAGTTGGGTCACAGTGAGGTAGGAGGAGCCATGGTGGCCTGGAGTGAACTATGGGAGCCTGAGCAGGGTGAGGTCAGCATCCACACAAGGAGGTGGCCCGGCACAGGATGTCAGAGACCAAGTGGATGTGAGGAGTGGCCACCCAGAGGGGTGGCCCAGTACAGAGCAGTAAAGCCTAATCAGAGTGAGAAGGGCTGTGGAAGGGCGGCCTGGCATGAGTTGTAAGAGCCCAAACTGGGTAAGGAGGGTGTCCAGGCAGAGGGCCGGCGCAGCACAGGGAGGAGAAGCCCAAGCCAAGCGAGGCAGGAACCCACGTGTGCAGGCAACCTGACACAGTGAGCCAGAGGCTGAGCAGAGTGAGGGGGCATCCCCGCCTGGGGGAGGGAATGGCCCGAGTGGAATGTGAGAGAGGGAGAGGTTCTTGCGGGGGGAGGGGTGGCTTGTTGTGAGTGTTGTTATGGGCTGCGTTGTGTTCCCCCTCGAATTCATATGTTGAAGCACTGGCTCTCTGCACCTCCAATTGTGACTATATTTGGAGACAGAGCCTTAAAAGGGGTGATTGAGTTAAAATGAGGCTGTTAGCGTGGGCACCAATCCAGTGTGACTGGTGTCCTATAAGAGGAGGAGATCTGGACACACACGCGGACGCCAGGGGCACACACACAGGAAGGGCCACCTGCAAGCCGAGGAGAGAGGCCTCAGAAGAAACTGAGCTTGCCAACACCTCGATCTGAGACTTCCAGCCTCCAGAACTGTGAGAAATAAATTTCTGCTGTTTAAACCACTCAGCCTGTGTATTTCCTTATGGCAGCCCTCGCAAATGAATACAGGTGCTAAAGCCCAAAAGGGGTGAGGAGAAGAGCCACATAGGGAGGAGATGGCACAGAGGTGGGAGGCAAGTTACACACGGGTTGTCCTTGATGAAAGGCTCATTCCAGGGCTGGAGGTGGGAGTGTACAAGATGCGCCAGCTCGGAACATCTCCTGCTGGAATGGAAGAGATCAAAGAATGATGGTGACTTGTCGAATGGAAAGGTTTGACTCGAAAGGGCTGTCACTGGCCACAATGAGGACAATTTGAATAACAAATCATGAAATACTATATGATATTATATGATGATATAATAATCCACTGAATTAAATATAAAACCATGTGTCTATAATATAAAAATGAAATGAATATGGAAACAACCAAAATGTTCTACAATAAGTGAACGGTTAAACTGTGGCACTTCCATACCATGGACTAATACTCAGCAATAAAAAAGAAGAACAGGGGCTGGCCTGGTGTTATAGTGGTTAAGTTCATGCACTCTGCTTCGAGATGGCCCAGGGTTCGCAGGTTTGGATCCTGGGCACAGACCTAGCACCACTCATCAAGCCACACTGTGGCGGCATCCCACATAAAATAAAGGAAGATTGGCACAGATGTTAGTTCAGACACAATCTTCCTCAAGTGAAAAAAAAAAAGGAAGAACAGATTACTGACTATTGATACAACTGGGATGATTTCAAGGGCATCATGCTAAGCAAAAAAAGCCAGTCTCTAAAGATTACGTACTGCATGATTCCATATAGCATATAACATTCTCAAAATGATAAATTAGAGAGATAGTGATCAGATTAATGGTTGCCAGGGGTTAGGGAGAGTGGAGGAGTGGGGGCAGTGAGTGAGTACGACTCTAAAAGGGTAGCATGTGGGAGCACTTTATGGTGATGGAACAGTTCTGTATCCTGATTGCAGTGGTGGTTCCACAAATCTACACATTTGATGAAATTACATGGACCTACACACACATAGCACCAATATCAATTTTCTGGTTTTGATACTGTACTATAGCTCCATAAGATGCAGCCATGTGGGGAAGCCAAGTTACGGGTACATAGAACTTCTCTGTACTATCTTTGCAACTCCCTGTGAATCTATAATTATTTCCAAATAAAAAGTTTTATGGAATTTTTGATAAGTAACGGGATATCTAGATATCCTCCCCACACAGCACCTCCCCACAAAATACACATTACAAAAGAAAAAGGCTAACTTTAAAGTGGAGAGATCTGGCAGTCACCACATTAAGCAAGTGATCAAAGTGAATATCCCTAATAATGGGACAGATCAAAATCTCCCCCATCTAACAGGGTGCAATGAGTAGAAAACGCATCACTTCCATGATATTCCTGCCAAAGATGCATATGTGAATCTAGTCAGGAGGAAATAGATATGCTTGAATCAAGACACAGTCTACAAAACAATTGGCCTGTAATCTTCAAATGTGTCAAGGTCATAAAAATCATGGAAAGACCAAGGAATTGTTCCAAACGGAAGGCTAAAGTGACATGACATCTAAATGCACCTCATGATTCTCAGCTGGTCCTTTTGCTGGAAAGGACATTGAGGCTGTTGATGAAACTTGAATGGAGCCCGAGGATTACGTGACAGTACTGCCACAATGTTAGTTTCCTGATTTTGATGGCTGCACTGTGGAGAATGTCCCCATTGGTAGGGAATGCACACTAAAGTAATTACTTTAGTAAAGGAATGGGTGATGGGCATCAGGTTGGCGACTTACTCTCGGATGGGTCAAGAAAAAAGTTCTTTGTACTGTACTTGCAACATTTCTATAAATCGATTGTTTCAGAATAAATGTTTTTATTTTAAAAATGAATAATTTGAATGTCAAAGAATGAGAAACCCTTGACAAAAACATGAAATCCTAAAATGCTTCTGCAAAAAATGGCTCTCTATATTCAGGCCTTGGAAGTCACACTTGACAGAAGTTACATGCATATATAAAAATCTCAAATACATGATTAATTTTTTGTTCAGTCTAAGAATTAGCACACTCTTCGGACTAATAACTTAAACTTGGTTAGCTAATAGACTAAAATTTAAGTGTCTTGTTTTCTCTTTAAAAGAAACTTCCGGTCAGAACTTTTCTATTTCCTACAAGAAAACGTTAATAGCCACTTTAAATCAATTTACTATAAATGACCTGTCCCTGGGATCAATTATCCTTGGAAAACAAGGACCTCCCGTACATCCTTGCTGCTGGCCACCAGGTCCAACAGGCCTGACAGGAGGGAATAGCCAGGTAGCTCACCATGAGAATGACACGGTGATGCCTACCTGATAAGGATCGGTGAGGACTAAATGCAAGTAAGATTCTTGCCTTAATATCTAGAAGATATTGAAACTTACAGTTGTAGAAGAATTACTATTGTTAACTTAGATAACTAGCTTCAAGGTTCAGTTGAGGTCATATCTTCACTCTTGTTCTGTCATTCCCTGTCAGCTCATGTAGTACCAACAGGAATTGTGTCTCCTATGGGTTAACCAGCAAGGGAAGATTTATCTCTCAAGTGGCCAGAATTTGAAAATCTAGACTGAACATGTGCACAAGTGGAATCCTTAGAAAGCAGTAATCAAATCAGAAATGGGAGCCAAGGCCAGCCAGTCAGCAGGAAGCCTGTAAGATCTCAAACCAGAGTGGAGCATTGGAGAGAGCAAAGTGAGAAAACCCAGAACCCTTGTTACAAACAGAGCTAGGATGCTTACGGCTCACTGTTGATTGCTCACCAATCAATACTGATGGCTCACAGTGAGTCAAGCAGACTTAATAATGTATGTCCAAGCGAACATTGACACGCCAGGTACCACACTACACACTTAGCTGACATGGTCATCTGAACTTCACAGTTACCTTACGTACAAGGCAGGTACAATTATCATTCTTACTCTACAGATGGGGAAACTGAGGATTGGCAAGATTCAGCAGCTCACCGGTCACACAGCTAGTGAGGGTAAAACCAAGGTTTCAACCTCTGCATTTTGTCTCCAGAGCCTGCACTCAACTGCTGTTCTAAACATTCTCCCACCACCAACCATCATTTGTGACTTCACAGCCCACACAGTCCCTTACGTCACTTGCTTGTTACAATACGCTTGGTTCCAGATTTCCAGAAGCCTTTCTCATTTCAGCAGTAACTGTGTTGTAGGATGGAGCAAGGGGTCTCATTTGTGTAACACGGAGACACAGCAGGGCAAGAAGCACATCTTCCACACTTGGAGAAGCAGGCTGCTGTGTCCAGCGGCTTTGTTGATTTAGCAAAGGACTAAGAGCTGTCACAATAAACTCCTTTGTAATCACGTAGAAAATGCTGCCTTCCAACAAGGCCAATTAAAAAAAAAAGTGTGTATGTGAGCGAGTGTGTTTGTATTTGGTATCACCATGCAGCTTTATGTATGGCAAACTACTTCTTTCTTTCTCTGGAGACCTCAGAACCCAGAAAACCTTTCGATGTACTAATTAGGGTCATAAAAACATAAGCTTCGGTCTGTGTTGGGTGATTCTGGAGGAGCTGCCTTCCCCTTGAGCTGCTTCCCAGTTCATTTTAGTAACAGATCTGCCAAACTGGCAGACTCCACCTCGCCACCTAGGCGCTTTTGCAAAATGACCTTGTTTCCATCATGTTTTAGCACAGAAAACACCACACACCTCAAGGGATGCACTTTGAGTTTTTTTTAACATCTACATGGTGATTTAAGAAGAAGCACTTTACCAGACTCCTGGTTGGGGAGGTAACTCCAGTCGTAGACACCACACGCTGGCAGCAAGCGTATGCCGACTCACCACGGCCACCGTCTGCCCAGGGCCCTTCCTCCTCATTCTTCAAGCCCACAGCACAGCCGGCATGTTGGGTGATGTTTCTCGATAGCTCTCTAGCCAAGGATATCTGTGGTTCAGAAGTATTGTTGCTATAGTTCTGATGATCTGGGTCTTGTTTCTAGAAATCATATTCAGTTGTCAAACAGAAGGACAGTCAGATTTTGAAGTTTTAAATCAACGTATTTCAAAGTTTTAACCGATGAAGTTTCACTTAAGCGATCAGGGCTTAAGTGATTATGGAGAGAAAAATCATTGCTCAATAGACTGTATTTTGTTCTTCTATAACCTTAAAGTGTTGTGCAATGGGCAACCGCAACAGGAAGATTATAGCATGGAACAGATCCTATGTTTTATAATGAATGTAGCACAGAACAAAGCACTTCTATTACACAATTAATATCCCAGGAAAAACTAAGACAGCCACCAGCACATGTGCAAACACCATGCCCATGCCACAACCCACCCGTCCAGTCTAGTCAACAGGACAATCCACTCCCATCATGGTGGAATGAAGCCTCCCAGGAGGCACCTAAGTTGAACTAGTGGACAAGGCAAAAAACTAAAAATACTGGCTATTTCTGCCCCAAGTTTCTAGAATGAGTTTCTCTTCTCTCTACTATCTGTCCTTCTCTTCTGCCCCTTAAACACGATCACACCGCAACTTAGAAAAGACCTTCGCTGGCTCTAACGGCTTTTCTACTTCCCTTTATTTTGACCCTTCTTTCCAGCTTCAGATTTCCAGGTTGAATGCACTTGCAGTCTGCCACCTCCCTCGGCTCGGACTCCAGACCTTTACCAACAACACGCCCTCCGCCCCCTCTGAGTTGACTTCCAGGCCACTCCTATTCCACATCTCAGATGCTGGGCCTGGGTGCCTTTCCTGGACTCTCTGTAGCTTCTCACATTACTTCCCACCCTCGGATTCTCAAGATTGTCCCCTCCCTGACTTTAGGACCCCATCTTGCTTCTCCACCTTCCTGCCACCTTCCCTCTGTTGGCTCCTCCTTCCTGTCAATGGAGTCACTTAGTGCTCATTTCTAAGGCCTTTGTCTCTTCCTATCTTACCTCTTCTGATAACTAATCCATTTTCAGGCCTTGAAGATTTGCCTCTCCGTGGAACAAGCCCATAATATTAGCCCACACCTGCCACTACCTAATGGATACTTCTGAGCTGAGGACCCTGATAGCGGTGGTGACACTATGGTGCCTTACGGTTTGCAAAGCAGGTTCATTTATGTTCTTCTGAATGGTCTCAAAACCCCTCGAGACTGGTATCACCAGACCATTGCTGAGCTCTCCAGCAGTGCTGTCCCTCAGGAAGGGCCGCTCCCAGGGGAGGCCCCTTGGGGAAAGAAATGCATCTTCCTTTCTGTGTCCTGTCTGCTGTCTGTCCTGCTAAAGGGAAACCACCACCACAGAGTGGGTTTATGGAAGCCTCCTCTCGTGCCCCAGCCGCCACAGTCCTATTAAAGATTCGGCAGTTAGGAGCTGAGTGCCCTGGACAGTGACAGATGCTAAATATATAGATGGTCAGGAACTAGCCTCCAAAGCTCACACAGACCTGGATTCAAACCCCAGTGCTGACATTTCCTAACTGCATGGCCTTTCCCTGTATTTTGGTTTCCTCCTCTGTAAAACAAGGATCATAAACAGCTCAGAGGAGTGTTATAAACTAACTGGTATGTATACATAACATTGCCTGGCACATAGAAAGGGCTCAATAAACGGTGGATATAACTTCTTAACTCTTTACCTCACAGTCTTTGGCTCCTTCCAAAACATCATTGAGAACTTGGATGTATTCAATTGCACCTTTAAGAATATCAACTTTGCTAGGCTTCCTACTTTGGGGAAGAAATGGCACCAGTGCCTTCAATTTGGCAAAACCACGGTTGAGATTTTTTATCTGGAAAACAAAAAGGGACATTGACACACAGAGAAGCTAATTGGTACAGATATCCCCCCAAACCACAGGAGGGGGTCGTGAGGGTTCATTTCCACAGCTGTCTTGTGCAAATCTAAGCAGGCACATGCCAAAGAGTCACGGCTCCCCTGACGATACAGTGTATTCCTTGGCAGAGAAAGGGGAGTGGCGTAAACTCAGCTCTGTGGGCGGATGGGCTGGAGGCGTGTCCATGTCCACATGACCTCCTCCTCTTCCTCTAAGGGCAGACCCACTGCAGTGCAAGGCAGAGGCAGCGGGGGTAGGGGCTAAAAGCTCTGAGTCAATACACCAGGATTTAAAAACCAGCTCTACCATTTAGCTTTACAAGAGTGTGTAGGATACTTCATATTGCCAAGCTGTGGTTTGTTTACCTGCAAAGTGGAAAATACCCACCTTGTAGCTTTTTGGGGGTGATTAAGTGACATAGTTACACATAAAACACTTCTTCCTGACCTGGCACATAGAAAGTCCTCAATAAGTGGTACTGATGATAATAAATAAAACGTACTAAGACCTATCTAGTCAAGCACCGTGCCATCAACTCTTCAACCTCTTTCCCAGCTGAGTTGATGATACGAAGTGTTAGAGTCCAGAGAGTCTGCATGTTGGTGAGACTTGAAGCGTAGAATGGGCCGCCTCATTTATTTATTTTTATTTTTTGAATCTCTAGGGTCTGAAGGCCTGGAACTCTGATGATCACCCCCTTGCTGAACACAGGCCCTGGAAGAACTGGCCCCCACACCACCACAAAGCCAATATACTCACTTATATCGAGAGCCCGCTCCCACCCACATCCAAGTGGACGACTGACATAGCCCATTCACAGCAGAATACAATGACCAATAAACATGAAAATATGCAGCTTTACTCATCAAAGAACTACAAATTAAAACAGAAATTAGATTTTTTTTTTTTGAGGAAGATTAGCCCTGGGCTAACTGCTGCCAATCCTCCTCTTTTTGCTGAGGAAGGCTGGCCCTGAGCCAACACCCGTGCCCATCCTCCTCCACTTTACATGTGGGACGCCTACCACAGCATGGCTTGCCAAGTGGTGCCATGCCCACACCCGGAATCCAAACTGGCAAACCCTGGGCCGCTGAAGCAGAACTTGAACGTTTAACCACTGCGCCACTGGGCCGGCCCCTAGATACCATTTTTTATGTACCAAGCTGGTAACATTTTGTTTTGGTAACCATACCCAGCACTGGGGATGGAAAAAAGGAACAGTCCTATATCTTGTAAAAGGGGATAAAAAATAGTAAACTTTTCCAGAAAGCAATTGGCAATTTGTATCAAAAGTCATGAAATTGTACATATCCCAGTAATTCCACTTCTAGCATTTTATTCTAAAGTAATTATCAGATATGCACATAGATTTATGTACCAGTAAAAAGCTGCAAAAAAAGCATACATGCCCAACAATACGAGACTGGATAAATTATGGTCCATTTATACGTCAGACTATGCAATCAAAAGTTGTTCTTTGAAAGAATGCTTAGGAACATGAGGAAATGCTTTTGATAATGTTAAGTGAAAATATACAAAGATATGCACTAGATAATCACAGTTTTGTAAAATTATATATATGCACACACATTACTGGAAAAAACATTGTGAGGATATATACGTACATGATAGTTCATGCTAGTTATATATGTGTTATGGGAGTTTCCATCCTCTATTTAGTCATTTCTATATTTTCCAAGTGTATTAATTTTATCATTATAAAGAATAAAAGTCATTAGTTTCAAAATAGTGGATAACACCAGGGCCAGTTCCCCATAGAAAGCAATTCCTTTCTGGCGGGAAGGCCCACTTAAAATGCAAAATACTGGATCAGAATCTTGTTTGAGGGCCACGTCATCACATCAGACCACAGGGTTATTTTCAGCTGGGTCTTTCTGAAAATAGTGCCTGGTAAAACCATGCTGCTCCACTCTTGCAATTTTCCCGACTTCCCCTAAGTCTTCTATTCTTACTTGGTCCTTTCACCAGAGCTACACCTCTAACAGGCCCGCAGCGGGTGGGAGCAGCCCCCAGCAGAACTTCCTCAGGTCCCAGGCCTCGCCGTGCGCCCTCTCCGTCCTCCACCGCCCACCCTTCCCTCTCTAGGATCTCCTCTGCTGCAAACAACCCCACAGACCGCAAAGGGCAGAAAGGCGACCGGACCTGACAAGTCTGGGGCCCCAGTTTAGTCAGAAATACTAAAAGCTACCAGTAGATGCCGCTCGGCCCATGGTCGGAGGACCATTCCGGTCGGTGGTTTACCGCCCGCGCCTGACTTTGTAACACTTTCTCTTGACGGGGGATTGAGTGGGAGTCTGGGGGCAGCCTGGGGCACTGTGTTTCTTTGTTTAAAGTAAGGAAAAGAGTAACCTCCATTAGGTCCCCTCACCCCATCTGTGCTTCGAGGCAGAAAGCAGGGCAAAGAGCTGAGGGGGCCGTGCACCCAAGCGCACAAGGTTGTGAGACCAAAGCGCGCCTCCTGCGCTCTAAGCCTTGAAAAAGCACCTGCCCAAGGGAGACGTTTTCCAACTTGTCAGGGGCCTCCTCGGCCCCCCAGACCCGGTTCCCGCACAAGTCCGGGGGCTTAGCAGGTGGGGCGGCCACCCCAGCAGCCGCGAACGAGCAGCTGGACGAGGGCGAAGAGTGACAAGGCCACGGTCATTCTCCCAAGCTAGGACACGAGCCGGCCCGCGGGAGGTCGAAGTCTCCTGGGGCCCCACGAGTGGGCGGTGAGTGGGTGCCCCTGGTCCTGAGCAGGTGTTCGGGGGTGGGCAGCGGGGATCGGGGAGAGGAGAGGAAGTCGGCCCAGTCCCGGGTGGCCCGGGGACCCGCGCGGGGCGTGGAGCTCACCCGCTCGCGCTCCTTGGCGTTGGCCACGCGCCGCCGCTCCAGCACCAACTGGAGGTCCTCGGTCGACGAGTAGCCGCCCGAGGGCAGCCGCTTGAGCCGGCAGATGGCGGCCAGCTGGGGCAGCGGCCCAAACTGCTCCCGCAGCACGTCCTCCAGCACCTCGGCCTGCGGGACGCCCAGGAGGCCGGGCAAGGCGTCCATGGCGGCGCGCGGAGGCCGGCGGGCGGCCGGGCCCTTCGTCGGGGGCACCTGGGGCGGTGCGAGGCCGCCGGGGGCCTGGACCACCTGCGCCCATCCTCCTGCCCGGCTTGTTACAAACCGGGTCCGGCTCTTGCAGGTCCGGCTAGGAATCTGCGGTTAACAAGCTCCACAGGTGATTGTCGTGCACGCTGCATTGTAGCGTTGGCTCTCAAATTTGGCTACACACTGGAATCACCTGGGGAGTTTTTAAAAAAAAAATCCACATGCCTGGGTACAAATCCCCTAAATTCTGATTTAATGAGCCTGCAATGAGGCCTGAGCTTTTGGGTATATGTATACCCATGCATGCAAATATACATATGCACATACACATTTACCAGAAAAATTTGATGAATACACAAAACCTTTTAAAAAATTCATTTCAAAATAAATAAAAGTTGCAAAACAAGTTGCAAGAATAGTAACAAAGAGGTCCTGTATCTCCTTCTCCTAGATTCTCAAGTTGTTTTCACATTTGCTCCATCACCCTCTTTCTCTCCACGAATATTTCCACTTTCCTTATTCTTTTTCTGAACTATTTGAACTGGTTTTTTTCTAAAGCGTTTCCTCAGTCTTGTCCTGCCTTCATGACCTTGACAATTTCGAAGGGTCGAATCCTTTCATTTCTGAAAGATGTCCAACCTGGATCTGTGGAATCTTTCCTCATGTCCAGACCCAGGTCATGCCCTCTGGGCAGGGACCCCATAGAAAAGATGCTGGGCCTTTCAACTGCATCACATCAGTAGATAAATGATGTTGACCTATCCCACCAGTGATCACGTCACCTTGATCACCTGGTCAAGGTGGTGTCCAGGTTCCTTCACCATAAACTGACTAATTTTTCCTTTTAATTGATAAACATTTTGTAAGCAGATATTCCTTAGCATGCATTGCTGCTTTCTGCCTGAATTAACCACCTCCCTGAATATGGCCAAAAGGTTGACAGCCTACTGTGGGGAAGAACTTTCCCTTCTCCCCATTTACTTATTCCTTTTGTATTTATGTCAGCATGAGCTCATGAATGTCTGTTTTATTCAATAAGATGTAATTCATTCATATCATTATTTCTTTTAATGCTCAAATTTCCCAGATTTGGCCTGTGGGAACCCCTTCAAGCTGGCTTCTCTGCCCTTTGGACGTGACCCCATCATTCTTTGAGCACTCTCTTACTTGTGCCTAAAGTCATAACGTGTTCCAGGCTTATCTTGAATTTTCCTAGCCCCAGCCCTGGAATCAGTCAATTCTCCTTTTAGTGGAAGGTGGGATTTAGAAACCAAAATTGGATGCTTTATTGTTCATTCCTTTTGAGATGTCATTGCTTCTAAGCCCTTTGCAGACAGGAAATATAGTAGGGATGTACACAAGCATACATACACATACAGCTGTATCTATCTATCTGTGTATAGAGATGGATAGATATATTTAAAAAGCATGAGTTCACACTAATACCTCCAATTCCAAACTAACACCTCAGGTTTCTCTCTAGTTTCCCCCTTTCCTTATTTATAACTCCTTTCTCCAACAGCCAGAAACCTGACTCTGGTTATCCTCAGTATATTGACTTATTTGCACAATTCTCATATATAACCAATTTCCTAGCCACCTCCTCAAACCCATCCCCTCCTCAGCTTCCACCACAGCACTGCTTCCAAGGGAAGGGCAAGGGGAAGAGAAAAGAACACACCAAATGCTTAACTGGGGTTCCCCTGAGCAGGGGGCCTGGGAGTGGGGAGATATGATCCATGCATCCCATCTTTTATATTGCTTGCATTTTTTCGCAATAAGCATAGGTCACTTCTAGAATTAAAAAAAATATTTTTTTAAGAAGGAAAATAATTTTGTTTGCTCCAAGTTCGTTTGGTATTTTCTGCTGGGAGGCAGATAGAAAGCAACAAGAGCCAAATATATGGGAACGAAGCTTAAAATGGAGATAGTTTACCCATTTACTTAACTTTCCTTGAGAACTTTATTTTTCCAAGGACATTATTGACGTTATTCTATTTTATTGCCAAACCCTTGAGAGGATAAGCTGGTGTGCATTGGAACCCAGTGTGAGAACTCCAGACTTTATTCCTTCATACTCCCCTCCGTCAACTCCAACTATAACTTCCTGGCCTCTTGTCAGTTAAATTCCTACACTGAGCCATCTGTTCTGAGGGAGGGCAATCATGTGAGCTAATTTGAGCTAAGACGTTACACCTAATAGTGACTTAGTGCCAATACCTTGCCATCACCCAATGATGCAATGGCCTAATGAACAAAACGGTTTATTTCTCTCTCTCCTCTAACAGTGTGAAAGATGTAGGTCAGTGGTGCATCTCTGCTCCTTATGGTCACTCAGGGTCTTAGCTTCCTTCCAAATCATTGCTCCTCCATCGTTGCTCCTGGGTATCGTTTCTGAAAATGGAGCTGTCCCATTAGATGCTTCTGACATCGCTGGTGCCCGGCAGGGATTGAGCCTCAGGTTCAGAGCAGGATCAGAAACTTTTCTAGGGATTTAATTCAAGGATGTAGGCGCTTACACATTCATTGGGAGGGCTGGAGGAGCCGGAGGAGCTCTGAGTTTGAGAATACACCACCAAAGCTGCAGACTGGGAAGCAGGAAGCCACTGCTCCTGCAGCTGCCAGTCACCCACTCAAAGCTAGAGAAGGGGCTCTGGACCACTGCTGCAGGGAAACGTCAAGTCCCAACCCCCTGGCTTGCCTGCAGGAAGTAGGCAAAAGGACAGGGAGGCGAGCTGTGCCTCACATCCATGCTCACAATCTTACACAACTGTTCCTAATGAAATCATCTTAATTGGCATTCGGAATCCTGGGTACAAGGGGTTCTGAAAAATGGGGCTCTGCCCTTCCTGCTTCTGCAATGCAGAAAGACACCCTGGAAAAAGGGAGCGAGCATGGGCATTGAGGGAGAAAATCCATAGGATCTTCCATCCCGAGCAAGACACAGAGAAATTGCCCCTCGCTCCATCTCGTGCCCACTAGTTTCACCTCATCAATCTTTGCCCATTTGTTACCCTGGGATCAGCTTAGAGGATCACCTCCTCCTATGTCTGCCTGGGCCCTCGGCAGCCCCTCATCACACCGACCAGATCCTGGCTCAGACACAGCTCCCTTAATCTCCTTAACTCAGTCGAGACATGAAAGAGCTGCTAAAAAACAGCTTTAATGAGAGTAGGCAAAGAATGAAATTTTAGAAAGGGATCAAAAACTATAAAGAGACAAGTCTACATTGCCCAGAATTCCTATCCAAATCAATTTGGCAATTTCAGATTATTATTCATATTCACATAAATTCATATTATTTTTATTACATAGTATGTATTATTTTATCTCACCACATTCCTGAGAATTACACTTTACTCCCATTGTACAGATGAGAAAATCAATGTCAGACAAGTTGAGTGACTAGCCAAGGTCACGTTGCTGGTCAATGGCGGAGCTGAGTCTAGAACTCAGGTTTGCTGCCTCCACTGCAGTTCTTTTTCCTCAAGATCTGAGTGGCCTCCATCCCAAGGTCCGTGGGCCCACTCCCAGGCTTCTGGCTGACTGGTCCCCTGACACACAGGCCCTGGTCCTCTCTTGAGGCCCTGCTCACCATAGCCCATACTTTCGCTTTCTTTCAGGCTCCTCCTCCTCCACCCCCATGGGCATGAGCTGGGGTTAATATCTTGGCCACACCAGAGCAGAGTTAACAGTGGGTCAGAAGTGCTTCTCCTCCAAAAATAAAGAAGAGGAATAGACCCACAGGCTTTGTTCCTAGAAAACTGGTGAGAGGTCGTTTCCTCACAGGGGCCTCAGCTCAAGTCCTTCTGGTTCGTGCGGCTGTGCTTCAGCGGCAGCCAGCAGCTTCGAGCTCTGACAAGACGCAGAAAGATGCCTGGCAGCCTCGCGAAGAGGCTGATGCAGACCTAGAGCCCTGTGGGCTGAAGGGGCCTCATAGAGGAGCTGAGACTTAAGCAGCCTCCAAGAGTTAGTCATGGCTCAGAGAGGAAGAGCTTCTGTGACACATTTGGGCAAGTCATTCAAACTCTCTAGGCCTCATCTTGCCACCTGTAAAGCCAACATTGTGATAGAAGCTTCCTTGGAATTGTAGCGAGGAGTCAATCAGGCCATTGGCATAACAATAACATCTAACACTTGTACAGTGGGATCCGTGGGCCATGTGCTACTCTAAGCTTGTCATATGCATTAACTTTCTTAATCCACACAACAGCCTCAAGAGAGATGTACTCAGAAGAGGGAATTGAGACACAAAAGTCAAGTAACCAGCTTTCCCAGCTAGAAAGGAGCAAAGCTGAAATTGGACCCAGATAGTCTGGCCACAGAGCCTGAGTCTATAAGCACCAATCTCTCCCACTTCATGTAACTCCCACCATATTGTAAGTGTTGGCTACCGTAGCAATGATGGTTTACGAACCAGACAGAATGTCCAGAAACTTGCTATTGTACAGACAAATCCTAAGTGACTCAGGCAGAGGGATGTTTTGAGCAATAGTGCAGAAGCTGTGATCAGAGTTGGTTGAGGGGACATGTCATGAAAGGGCCGTTGGGGTCCCCTTGAAGAGGACCTGAAATCCTGGTCCTGGGACCTGTACATCTAGGAGGCAGTGGGAAAGGCTTGTCAGAGCCTAGAACGGTAAAATTGCAGCAAAACCTGGGCTTTGGGGAGGTTCAAGAGGAAGCGGGGTGCAGGCTGCTTTGAGGAGGGCAGGGGAAAAAGAGGGACAGCTGTGCTTGGACTCCCTGCTGCATGGGTCCTTGTCCTGCAGGAGGAAGCTTTCTTGAGGCCCAGTGGCAGGCCCCTCTTCTATCCTAACTCACCTGTCCCAAGGGCAACCCTGGCCTCCTCACTCCTCTGTGGCTCTCACTGGGGTCCAGGGCTTTCATCGGTGGTAGGGGTCCTGGGGTTGATTAGCTTTGAGCTGCAGGAACTGCTAACCGCAGATAGAGGTAGAGCCACTTATAACTCGCCCTTATAAGTGA